AACTCAGCATCATGCCCTCCAATCCTGATCACACAGTTCACGTCTTCAGTAGCATTGCTTGTCGGGGAAAATGAAAAGATTTTGCCTAGGAAACTAGTTTTGTTGTAATGCATTTATAAGCAACTAAAGGAATTAAAGCGATTCAAAGAGTTAGGGGGCAGGAGGTCGGCAGAGCAGACATTACAGCCCAGAAGCGAAGAGGACCGGCGCTGGCCGGGGTGGGCAGGCGCGGCCGTGGGAAGGGGGAGATGGCAGGAGAGCTTTAAGGGATCTAGAACTGACAGGCTCCAGGCGTTTACTAGCTGCAAGGAGCAGAGTGTTCCGACCTGGGGAGATAATGAACTTCTTGAGGGGAGGAACTGGATCTGACTCATTTTCATGACTCCAGCTCAGTGTCGTACCCAGCATATAGTGGGCTCTCAACACGTAATTAAAATATCTCCTGTTTCTTAATGCTAGGCTTTTTTTCCGTGAGCATACAGCAGTGGAGTTAACCAAATCAGATATAGCCACCGAATTGTATGAAATTAAATGTGATTTTTGTGGAAATACAATCCACTTCCAGTTAGATATTGTTATACTTTGTTCCTTCATAAATTTATTTTCCCATATAATATGTGGCTTTTAGTGGGAAGTAATATATCATGATAAAATGTTTAGTGTGGTCAAAACAAAAAAATATATAACTTACTCTTTTAAAATATGACTGTTAACAAATCTGATTTTTTAAAAAATTATCCAAAAAGTGTGAGTGAATTCATAAATGTTCTCTTCTGTAACTCTTTAAACATCAAAAGGGACCATCTTCAAAATCCGAATGCTTCTCCAGCTTTCCGCAGGATATCACAAAACTTCCTGGCAGGGACTTTTAAACAAGTTGAGAAGTTTTATAAGATAAAAATATTTTTTCAGTTGACTTGACAACCATGTACAATGTTAGCAGAGAGTTTATTTGCCCAAGGCTCTTTGTCAAAATGAATTTAAACCGAGATTATTAAAATGTAGCCCAGTTGCACAGTGTGAGGAGAGGTGTTGCTAATGTCTTACTTCGACATTGTTGCTTTGCATACAAAGCACGCAACTTGGTAATGGGACTATGTGTACATTTCTGCTCACAGAGAGGAGACATTTATAATGATTCAGAAAAAAATAAATCATTTACATTAATCATGAGTTTTGATCCAGAAAGAGAAGCACTATAGTTTGGTGGTTTAGAAGTCTCTCAACTTCACCATCAGGCTGCCTGGGGCTGAGTCTCAGCTCCACCATTGACCTCAGTGCCTTCCTCATCTGTAGATAGAAGTCATGAAAATAGAAACATGTGAGCATGTTGTGAGGAGTAAATGTTATCATCATTGTAAATGATTAATATAGTGACTGTAACAGATAGAGGTTCACAATTAATTGTTTTATTTCAAATCCATAGAATCAAGACTAAGCAATGGCTCCTGATGGTAATTCCAGATGTGTGGTAAAAAGCCCTGTCCCAATTTAATGATAATCTTTTCTGTTACCAGTTAAGTAGCTTTAGGAAAATTTAACTAATGGTAAACAATGCTTGAATCACCAGATCTCTCCGTGGCTGTAGCTCATGTCTTACGTGAGAATCAGGATCCCAAAAGGAAAATGCTCATCTGGATGAGAAGCTGTAATCTTCCCAATTTAGAAAGTCACATTACACTACTTCAGGAAAATGTCCAAATTGCTAAACCTTGGAAGCAGCTCCTCTTCTCTCAAATGGACACATTATTTAAGAAGTTTTATTATTTCTGAAAAAGACCAATTGCCTTTCAAAAATAATAGTATTTGTGTATGGTTCGGAAGGCTGCACCCCACAGATGGAAGAGCTGAGCGTGCGCCACGTGGCAAGTGCCTGTTGTTATAAGAGGGCCACCCAGCAGCGGTGCCACAGCCAACTCTCCGGTGGAGGTGACAGTGATGCTGGCAGGGTCTGTGTCAGAGCCGCACAGTTAGAAATTCAGTGAGCTCTCTTCATCCACCCATGAGATTGTGCCATATTTACAATTTCTTATTTTAATTTAACATCCGCACAAAGTAAATTCTTGCCATTATCATGTCGCTGGTTTCCCTGAAGTCCACAACTTTCACCAAAGTCAGCAAATACAGCAGATTACCTTTAATGCTGCTTATCACTTTGAATTTTTTGACAAATTAGAACAGTAAGATACAATTTCTCTGGTTTACTTCCCCAATAGAAAGAACAGTTATGATTTCCTGCTACAAGCCAGCACTGTGCCAGGCATTTCGCATCATTCCCGTGCAAACTCACAGCCCGCAGGGAAGGTATTTTAAACACATGAGGAAACAGAGGCACGTTATTTCTTTATTATGATTTAACTTGCCTCTGTTCGCATGGATAAGCAGATACAGAATTCAAATCTCTTTCTAACTCCAGACTTTTCCACTCTACCCCTAGTAACTGAACTGTCTCCTACCTACTGGACATATCATCTCTTATATTTCCTCTTTATTTTCAAAGTATGAAAAACACATATTCTATTTTTTTAAAAAATATGTCTTTATTGATTTCAGAGAGGAAAGGAGAGGGAGAGAGAGAGAGATGGAAACATCAATGATGAGAGAGTCATTGATTGAGCCCGCAACCCAGGCATGTGCCCTGACCGGGAATCGAACCCTGATCGCCTGGATCCTAGGTAGATGCTCAACCGCTGAGCCACGCCCAGCAGGGCCTTATTCTTTCTATTAATTGTTCTATAAAGTGTTGATACAGGCCCTATTTAAAGTCATTAATTAGAGTAGGAGAGATACATGTGATTCACCATATAGCTAAATTTTTCTGACACTAAAAGCGTAAAATGATACTCAAAAGTAGTTTTAGTTTTATTTAGACCGTGATTTTCACAGTCTCCAAAGTTAGCAAACATAATGAACTTGTTAATTCATTACTTTTATTCATTAATTAAGTCCATCTATATAATTTTCTTATTTCAAAAATATTAAATGTAATAATTTTGATTTAAAATTTTAATTTATTGGTAGTCTTGAGACTTAATTTTTTTTATTTGAGAAAATGTAGTCTACTTGTGGTTTTTCTTATCAACTTCTATAATTCTCTCATTAGTGTTTTAAAAATACAATATAGATATTCTTGTTACTCACAATTTTTCGTTACAAAAGACTATTTTATTTATCATTACACAGTGAGAAAAGGGAACACTCGACTCTCCTGTCGTCATCTCAAACTCAGCATGTACAAAACCAAACTTCCCTCTTTCTGCTTCTTTGTTATTAACTCTCACTCACAAACAGTTATTTTAATGGCCTCATTATGAGCATTCATAGGAGATTATATGAATTTTTTTCTGAAATAGAAGTGATTCTACCCGAGGACTTGGGTCAGCATTTAAGCATCGTTTATGGAGTATGACTCCAGTACACCAGGATCTTAAAGGGATGAGTAAGTCCCTGTCCTCAAGAAATTGCAGAGAAAACAAAAAGTAAAAACATATAATACATTGTAGAAAACACTATAACAATGTTATTCCCAGGATCCTCTGGTGGGAAAAAGAGATAGGACACACAGGTGAGGGGGGAGTTAGTAAACCTCTTGAGGGTAATCTACACGAATCTTGAAGGTTATGTAGCATTTCTCTTGGCAAAGACGTTGAAGGAAAGGCACATCGGACAGGGCAGGGGAGGGAATGGAATTCATAGACAGCAAATGTGCTGTGGTTGGTCACATGGCTCTAGAGCAGTCACCTCATCTCAAACATCCCCACTTTCCACTTTCATAATGTGTGGTTTGGGGAAAGTTACTTCTCATCAAAGTGTGGGTGGTATAATGGTTCCTACACCACAGAATTGTTTAACTCAAACTTATAAATTCCTTTGTATGATATATGACACATAGGAAATGCTAAGTAACTATCAATTGCAAGAGAATAAGAAATAACATTATGTCTGGGAAACTAGAAACAATTTGGTAGTGCTAAAAAGAAAATGCAATCAACGTCTTAGAAGAAGATTTCCAGTGCTAAGGAGCTGGAAATCGTCATGTAGTCAATGGGAAGGCAGGCGAACGGCAGCCCGGTGGTGTTTTCAGCAGTCCCCCCAGGGAGAGTGCTGGTGAAGATTAGACAGAGCCCAGCCAGAGGGCCACAGGAGCTGTCGAGACGAAATATTTATCATTCTCTTTAATAGTAACAAAAGGAGTTGAAAAGAGGTAACGGCGAGGGAAATATTTATAAAGTAGAATTGGCAGGGCTTGCTCCTAACACTTAGTAAATAAAATAGCGTGGGTGATAATCTGGGCAAGGGAAGAATAAATGATGACCTGAAGATTCTTGATTTGGCAGCATGGATGCCTAGAGAAGGCACAGAGAGGAGAGCGAGAGAATACAGAGAGTGAACAGCTTTGCAAGAGAAAATAATGAGGGCAGTTTTTAGACATACTCAATTTAACATCTTTTAAGTACATTTTAAATCAGAATTTTAGAATGGAATTCCAACTTAGCAGAACAGATTCAGGATTCAAGGCCGTGAATGTGAAGGTTTCCCAGAGATAGTTTGTGTTATCTGATGAGTAGAAGAGACCGTCCAATGAAGCACCTGGGGGAAATAATAGTTTAATGTGGTTTCAGATTTGATATAACATATGATTAAAGAATCTCCAGCCAAGAGCAAGAATCTTGTGGTCAAAGAGAAATTGACTATTTCTTTGCGTTTCATACAAACTACTATGTGAAAAATATATCTATAGATCATTTTGATATAGGTGAACTAAGCTTATTATTTACTAGGTTTATTGAGAAAATGATTTTTACTACATAAAAATATTTACCTTTAATCTAGATAGCAAAATTTGAAAAAATAAATCAATCTGAAATCTAATTTTATTTTAACCTTTAAAACTAACTTCTCTCCCATTATTTAAAGTATTTAGCTGTTATTTAATTGCAGTTATAAAAAGCTAAAAAATACTTATGTAATTTAAAAATTTTAATTATATTTTTAATCAGCATGGGCATTAATCATGACAATGACCACCCGTCATGTGCTGACGGTCTTCATATCATGTCTGGTGAATGGATTAAAGGACAAAACCTTGGTGATGTTTCGTGGTCCCGATGTAGCAAGGAAGACTTGGAAAGATTCCTAAGGTACTGAGGTCACTTACTGTCGTCGTGTTGTGAATGTTTATGTGTGCCTGCTTCCTCTGCCGGCCAGGGAAGGCGGTGTGGCAGAGCAGGGCACCAGATTGGGAATCAAGGCACTTGGCTCCAATTCTGGCTCTTCATGGACTCATAGTGTGGATTGGTTCATATTATTTAGCCCATCTGCTTCTTAGTTTCCACATTTTCAAATTAAAAACTGGGCAAGATGATTTGTAAGGTTGAAAAATTATAAGGATTTTAAAAACCTATCACAGTATCTAATTGCCTCTTCAGAATTTCTCAGCGGGGACATTTTCATTGCTCGACACACAGCACATCACTTATCATCACAAAGAACCACTTTAACTGAAGCTGCACCTTTTCATTGCGATGCTTCTACATTCTCTTTTCTCATTGCTACATAGTTTCCCATCATTACACATAGTCCTCGATTCTCCTTCTTTCCGCCTTCAACAGCAGTAACACTTAGCTTCTGCCTGCTTGGGAAAATAAATGAAAATTATTACTGTTGTTTTAATTTTTATTTTAAAGCCCTGTTCTTTAGTTATTCCTTTGGCCATAGAAGGAGCAGGTGAAACAGTGGAAGCCATGAGTAAGACAGAGTTGCTTAAAGTACCCAAAAGTCTAAGTAAGAAATACAGAAACACCTCGCTAGCTAATTTCACTGCACAGATAAATTTTATTCCATTTTCCATACTACTTAAATTGGAAAGCCCATTTGTTTCTGCTAAATGGATATTAAAAATCTACTGAAATAAAACATTTATCACACTGACATAACTCTGCTCTGAAACATGTACGATATATCCTGTGCATGCTCTTTGTTGTGATCATGTAGCCAGCAGCGCTCAGAGCATGTGAACACACCGGCTCACTGGCACAGCGGCCCTCAGGAGTTTCTGAGGGACATGTGTGATTTTGTTGGTCTGCCTTCACGTGAATCAAAACTATGATAAAATTAAATGTCACCTCATAAATGGAAGTCATGTTACAATGTCAAGTACAAACATATTTGTACCATGAATACTCCCTGGAGAATGTTTTCCATAGATTCTTTAAATCTCTGAATGTAGTTGATTTTTTACCTTCACGCATTCTTTTTGGGCAAGATGATTTCTGAGTTTGTGCTTCTTCATCTAACAGATGTGTAAAATAGTAAGCCACCTCACGGTGTTATGTAGGTTAGCTGAGTTAGTCCATATGAAAGACCTTTATAACTCAAACAGTGCTGTTTCCTTGAACATAATTATTAGAATTATCTTAGATAATTATAAATAAATGATTCTCGTATATGGGATAATTTCTATAAACATTAAATAGAAATACTTATAAATAAAAGTAAGAACCTATTTTTCANTAAATGATTCTCGTATATGGAATAATTTCTATAAACATTAAATAGAAATACTTATAAATAAAAGTAAGAACCTATTTTTCATCTTATGAAATATTTCCTGTTGCATGCTAATGATAACAACTTTTTACATTAAATTCAAAATTTTACACATATCTGCATATTGCCAGGTCAAAGGCCAGTAACTGCTTGCTACAGACAAATCCCCAGAGTGTCAATTCCGTGATGGTCCCCTCCAAGTTGCCAGGGATGACATACACCGCTGATGAGCAATGTCAGATTCTCTTTGGGCCACTGGCTTCCTTTTGTCAAGAGATGCAGGTAAGGGTCGTGTCCAGGTGGGATTTGTAAAGTGTACGCTCACATTCATTGTTTAGAAGTATTGATTAGAGGAGGGAAGATGACTTTATGTTGGAGTTTGTGGCTCAAAATCACCCCACTCTTGGAAAGCGGAATTTTCTAAGAAAAGTTTCCTGCACCCTCTCCCCTCCCTGCACTTTGGAGGTGATGGAAATAGGTGTGGGCATTTAATTAATAAGGAACGACCCAAGAATTTCCACTTTGAAATGGCACTTAAGTCAGGGAGATATTTGCATTATGCCATTGCAGTGCTTTTATTTTAAATCTCTTACTTTCTTACATGGTAGGTAACTGGGTAAAAATGTAATAAAACAATATATGAATATGTAATTATGGGGAACGAATTGTCTTTTAACCCTGAAAATAAAATGTTAAAAGTACGCTCTATAGGGATAAAAATTAGAGAGTACAGTTTTAAATAGTTCAACCAGAGGAAAAGAGTAAATACGTGATGGTAAACTGAGCAGTGTCTGTCTGTGTGTATTCGAACAGTCAGCGATTACCCAGAGAGGCCCACTGCCCAGTCTGGAAATCTGACGGCTGGGCGATTGCGCAAAATGCCCTTCTTAGGTGTGTGAGAACTTTAGCCCTGTTTGCCCTTCCTTCTCTCTCTCTCTCTTCCTGCCGCCAGTCCCAGAGCTGCCCGTCTCTTCCCAGTACGTGCTCGCGTGTACACACACACACACACACACACACGCATGCACACACACGCTCTCTATTTCAGGAATAAACTGACAGTCACACTTAGAGCGACTTGGTAACTGTGTCTCTCTCTAAGCGTCTACGATTGCTTCAAAGGAGGTGGCCTTGCTGAAGATAATGCCCTTTTGGATTACCGTTGGCATAATTCAAACCCATGACAAGGAAGAGAGTTTATGACATCATGACATTTTCTGCCCTGTGGTTCTTACGAAGGAGTTGCTCACTGGTTTGTTTTTCCCACGTACCGATTCCCCACGCTAGCGGGTGAGCTCCGCCAGGGCTCAGTTCCCTTCGGCATCTAGCCCACTGGCTGGCCCAGGACAGGGACAGGCGCTTGGTGAATATTTGACTTAGGATTAAAATAAGTGGACGTATAAAGGAGTTGGAGCTGCATGAAATGTGACGTGTGAAAGGATGTATAGAATATAATACGCATCTGGCAATAGTGGGGATCCTAAGATACTGGTACAGGTGAGCGCCTGTGACCCGACACCCACGGGCTCACATGCAGCGGGGCCGTGGGCCAGCGAGCAGTAGCCCGTTGAGGCTGTGCGCTCTGTGCCCCATTCTGCTCCGTTCTCGTCTCCCCGTCTTCTTGTTCCCTCTGCTCTCACCTCTGGGCCCTTAGATGATCAAAAATTGGATACAATTTTCTTTCTTAAATCTTCATTGTAAAATAAATGTTTGAGGTACACAGGATTGGTTTTGTGGGTAGATACTTCCACATGCTGAAGTTATTATTTTTTTTACAGTCAATATGATTATCTTTTTTTTTTTAAACAACAACAACTGTGTATGGTTACCATTGTATTGTGCAGGAGATGGTTTCAGTTCATACGGTATAGGGAATTGATAGAGCTGATAAATGGAAAATTTTCATGTTTTATAAAGAATCCCAAGTGTTAGAAAAACTCAGTAAATCAACAACAACAGACATACTTTTGGTAAATTTTAGATTATTTTTCATAAACATTTTAAAAGGCTTTTGGAAATTATTTTTAATGACCTATCATACAGCAGTTAGTTAAACTTGACTAGTATACCACTCTACAATATTTTGAACTCTAAAATATATGCCATAGTATATAAATCACTTATATTTATGGTCTATTTTGATTCTTATAACAATTATAGCCCATAGTTATTATTCAGTTCTATTTTACAGATCAACAGTTTGAGGCCTGTAGAAGTTAAATAACACAATTAAGTTCTTTCACCTGTTAAGAGGGAGTGTTAGATGCAAGTCCAAACAACAGAGTACATTGTAAGCACTGTGCTCTACTACCTCTTATGGCACTTGAACTCCTTTACATATTGTCCTTTGTACAGGAAGCCCTTAAATCATATCTTGTGTTTAAACAGAATTCATTTTATCAGCTATAGCATCTACATTGTCAGGATTAAGTAATACCTTAATTGATTTATTTTTCTAGGCTTTTTGCTCTATTTACATGGTCATTTCTCACTGACGCTTGCACTCATTTTTCCCCCTCCACCTCTGAAAGTACAACTTATTAGGGAATTTTAAACCTATGTTCCTCCATATCCTAGGATGTGCCTTGTTTTAAACGAAGCATTTTGCAAATAAAATTAAGTTTTAGGTTTAAGTTTCCAGAAATGTTTTCCTTTTTTTCTCCCTCAAATTATATGTGCGTGAAAATTTTATTTATAAAATCAGTTTTTTTCCTAGTTCTAATCTGTGTGTAATCTTTATCAAGGACAATTTAAAAAATGATTCCAGGAAGGATTAGGCTGCTGTGGGCAGCCAAGGAAAAGCCATGCCTCTCAGTCTGGCTGGAGAGGCACGAGGCCGGGGCTCTGACAGTGGTTCTGCCTCGTATAAGGTGTTAACCTTAGTCAAAACTCCTTTTCCTTCCAAGCCACACTGTAGAATGAGAAGTGGGTCTACATTATGTTTTATTTACTTATTTTCATTTTTGTTATTGATGCTGTTACAGATAATTTTAGAGTCTCTTAGAACTAAGAGGTTGGACTTCTGTGATTCCAAAATCTTACTCTGTGCTACCCTTGAAAATCATCATTTAGATCCCAAATTAGTGCAGCGTGCAAAATGTAGGAACTAGGTAGATAGAGCCATTGAAGAGATTATTTACAAAATCAGTCTCTAATTTGGCAAATATTTATCCAACTACTTTCCAGACACTGCTCTGTGCACTTATAACACAGCAGGAAACAAAGCCCCCACCTTCATGGAGCATATATTTTAGTTGGGGAAACAGACAGTAAGCAAATATATATAATATGTCAGTTGGGGATAAGTGTTTTGGAGAAGTATAAATTCAGGTAAAAAGGATAGGCAATATCCAATAACCTGGATGGGAAGGTAGGAATGGTGCTATTTTATATAGGGTAATCTGGGAAGGCTTCCTGTAAAGGGTGACATTTGTTTAGAGATTTGAAGGGATGTGATAGCAAGCCATGCATTTATCTTAGAAGGACTATAGCAAGAGGAAATAGAAAGCAAAATACCCTGGAGTGGAGTTTTGGCCGTGTTTTAAGATTAAGATGCTTATTAGACATCCAAGTAGAGATATAAGTAGGTACAGGATAGACAGTGTCAGGAGGTATAACTTAAAAACAGGGGGAATAGTTATTAGTTCTGCTTGTTAAGCCACATACATATACCTTCAAGTGAATACACATGGAATTGTCACATCTACCAATCTGCCATCTAGACTTTATACAAGACAAACCTCCTAGAAGGCAAGTCCATAACATCAAAGGAGTTTCAATCATTTTTATCTCTGTACCTCTAGCACCAGAGAGAGTGCTCGATAAATATTTGTAAAATGAATAAGTGAAACAGTTGAGTGATGGAATAGGGGTTGTAAATTAGCTACAGCCGTACCTCATTTTGCTGTGCTTCACTTTGTCTGACTTTGCAAGTTTGTGGCAATCCTGTGTAGAACAAGCCTATCAGCATCATTTTCCCCATAGGCTCAGAAGATGGTTAGCATATTTTAGTACTAAAGCATTTGCTTTATTGCAGTGGTCTGGAACTGAACCCACAATCTTTTCCAGATATGCCTGTATATGACATGTCAAGATAATAAGAAAATAACCTGAAATACTAATTTAACCAAATTAATTAATTCAGTAATTATGATTCAATAAAATATTAATTTATGACTCCATAAAAACCAACTTATAAGGGCAGACCACTTATGTTTTTCACAGCTTATACTTAAGTTAATCAGGTATCCTTATGACCATTCCATTTCCATTCAAGTATAAATAATTACTAAGTTGCATGGAATATGGGTTCATAGCAACCTTTCAACATGTGTGTTTCTGGTAGAATGTTAGAGACTTTGGCAGTTGGTCTATAGCATTTGAATTAGATATTGCTCTTTCATACTTGTAAACATTTATACACAAGCACTAGAGACTCCGACATTACATACATGCTGATCTAATTAATGATAAATTTACCCAAAGAAATAGCTGTAAAGATGCTTGTGAAACATCTTGACCCCCAGCAATAATAGCTCACTCTTCTGCATCAATATGCCAACTTCTTGGATATACTTGTTGCTGAGTCCTGGTGCCTCTAGGCCATCTGGCATCTTGTGGCTGAGCCTGCTCCAATTGCATCAAGTCATTGCAATAGCTGCCTGTAATAGCCTAGCTGAGAACACAGAGGTATGGCTGTTTCCCTAGAACCAGTAAGAAGTGGCCACACAAAAGTTGCATTTTCTGAGTAATAAGGAAGTGTGCTAAAAAATTGAAGACCTCCAGGAAACTTAAGGCTCTGCCTTTGCTTTTGGACAGACACATTGTGAGTTGTATACATAGTATATTGTATAGAAAACTTTCTAGTGTAATTGAGTCATATGGTGACTTTAAAAAGTTATACAGAAAGTTCCAGTTTTACATTTCTTTTATACCAACTTGATACATCAAAATATGTAGGTCTTCTAAAACCTCTTATTTGATCCATTGAGCAGGCTGGCAGTGAATTAAGGTATCTTACGAAGAATTCTAGAAACTGAGTCACTGTGATTTGTGTAACTCCAGGGGCAACAGGAATTTGGACTTAAAAAGGCTTAACATGAAATTGCCCTTGATGGCTAGTTGTTTGGGCAACTCAGACAGCATCATTGATAAATCGTGTTGTCAAGATTGAAGTTATAAATTTATAAAGTCCTTCCTTCCTATAAGACCCATAAAGTTATGGTGGGTTAAAACGACCAGGAATTGATTCTGCCTGTTTGGCCATGTAATCAAAGCTTCATCTT